TGGAAGGGCAGGATGGACTGATCCAGGGGACAGTGGCTGTGGGAGGGCAGAAGGAGGGATGATGTGCTGTTGGCAGCAGGGGCTGCTCTGTGTCCCCAGCCTGTGGGTGCTCTGGGGGTGGCAGGGGTGGCCTGGGTGCTGTGGCATGCAGGGGACGTGGCTCGCTCTGCCGCCAGCTCCACTGCCCCCCCAGCCTCGCTGCTATTCTCAGCCCTTTCCTTGGGGATCGGTTTTCAGGCAGGGATCGGCGGGGGAGCGGAGCGTGCTGGGGGGCAGTGAGCTTCCTCTCTGGTGTTATTCCATGAGCTCTGTTATTCCTCTGTGTTAACCACGGCCGTGGGCCCTCTGCTGCTCTTCCCAGGGATTTGGGGGGTGCATGCCAAGGGCGCTCCCTGCCAGAGCCGAGGATGTGCCCCGGACTCCCTGCAGTTTCCTGTTCCCCTGGCTCTCCACTGTCAGCTTTTCTAACTCTTTCCTGTTTTTTCTTCATTTTGCAGCCCAAATAAAAGACTCTCCAGCAAGAAGGTGGCAAGGTAAGCTTATACTCCTGCTGTTGTTTGCTTGATCCCTACGAGCTGCCGGCTCCTCGGAAGGAAAACTCCAAATAAGCTTGGAGCCTTGTATTTCTGGATATATTCCATGCTGCTGGGGAAAAGTGGGTTTAATTCTGGTATCTTTTTTCTGGAATGGGGGTTTCTCACTCGTGCACACAGCTGGAGGCTGCTGGCAACCTGGTTCCTTCCAGGAAAAAATTGGGGTGCTTTTCCTCCCACTCCATCCTGCCAGTGCCATAGCAGGGAGCACAGGGAGCAGGGAAGGAGTCTCCAGAAGGACATACCCCTCTGGGTTATCCCCTTCCCAGTGTCACCCTGTCTCTAGAGTTCTGAAAGACCAGACCAGTGGGTAGCCCCACCTAGAGGGGTTCTCCAGCCCCCCAAAAATCCCAGCCACYTTAGACTGCTCTTGGTGCTGTTTTATTTCACTCAGTGTCACCCTCAGTAGTTCGTGGGAGCAGCTCCCCCTTCTGTGGGAGCAGCTCCCCGTGCTCACTCAGGGGCTCTGAGACATCCTGGGGGCTGTGAGTAACCCTGGTTTAATGGTTTAACCCTGGTTGAAGCCTAGGTTTAAGCCCAGGTTTAGTTCTATGCTGCTCCTGTCCTGCACAACCGCCTTGTGTGGTGTTGGCCACCTTTTCCAGGTGGGCATTTTGATCCCTGACTTCCCAGGGATGTTGGATGTATCCAAGGAGTTTGCTGTGGATCTCTGCAGCAGAGAGTCCTTCCCTCCCCTCTTGATGTCACCTGGTACTCRCCTTTCCTCTCCCAGCTCCCTCATCCGTCCCGTTCCTGGGCCATCACAATTTTAAGGATAAACTCAGTCTTACCTGTGCTGTTCTGCCTTTGCCATGCTCAGGAGGGACATTTCCCTCGGCACCTGTTGGATTTCTCTTTGGTTTCCCAGCAGGACAGGGACACTGTGGAGGAGCAGGCAGCTCAGTTTGGGAATGTTCCTGTTCCTGGCCCTCACTCTGCTCCCTGTGCTGATCCTGCTCCTCTTCCTCCCACTGTGCTCTCACACCTTTCCCTTCTCCACTTTTCCCRCATTCAGCAATCTCCCCTGGCACAGTTCCCCCTCCTGGAAAGGAAGCAGATCCTTGATATTACATTTCCTACTTGCAGTCATCTTGCTTTCTAGGGCTTTGTTAAAAACACTGGCAGGAAAAAGAGTTCAGGGGAGCAGCCTGTCCCCAGGTTTCCTGTTTTGGGACAAGTTTTTGTCCAGTGCCCAGCACAGATAATTTAGAGAGGATTTGAGTTAAATTTTTGGGAATGGAGATTCCCTGTTTTACAGGAGATTAAACCCTCCTGACCCTTTGCTTTTGTGAGGCAGGGACGTGTGGGCTTGGGTAAACACTGGTTAATTCAAGAGCAGTTGGGTTTGGTTTGTGATAAGGAGGGAGATAACAGCGTTTTGCGGAGCAAGATMCTTCAGCTCAGCCCAAAGTAAGCCCTTCATTGCAGATACTGTAATTAGCGAATAATCCCAAAACATTTGCTTTTGGAAAATTGATTTTATTTTGCTAAGAGCTGTTTCCTCATTTTTGTTATCCGGGTTCTGCTCGTGCCAAGAAATCTCAGCTGCTTAAGCCCTGTTGTGCTTGGCACAATTTAAATGACAAATGCGCCTGAGACTTTAAAATCTAAATATAAACTGGGGGTGAGGATACAAAATCAGGCTGTGGTCTCCTGGTAAATGCTGGTTGTGCTTAGTGAGTCCTGGCATGAGCACACTGCATAGTAGGAGGATTTTGAGAGCCACTGGTACAAATTCTGACAAAAAACTGAGGTTTAAAGAGACCTCCGTGGTTTTCTTATCCATCTCCTGCTGAAGGCAGTGTGAGAGCAGTGTTTTCCTCCTGCCTGGGGTCCCAGGGCTGATCCACCTCCATTCCYGTGGCAGTTTCTCTCCAGAGCAGATCCGTGGCCATGGTGGGGGTGAAGCCCAAAGCAGCCCCTCCCCAGGATGTCCTTTAGCTCGTCACAAAGCTGGGGACACCAGTGTCACATGGCCTCGTTAATGATTAGCTCACCCCGGGCTGGGGGGGGTCACAACAGCCTCAGGGGGGTTCATCCCCCTCCCTTCCTCACACCCCCACTTCTTCCCAGCCTTATCAGCCTTGGGAGTACTCTGTCCTTTGCTGGATAATTCCCGTGCTAAAGAAGGAAAGTGGGAAGAAGGAGCTCTTATCTSTTCCATTCCAAAGAGCAGGAGCAATGATCCCGGTGTGAAGTCCCCGGAGCGCCTCCACGTCCGTGGTGCGGGCGCTTCGCGGGGCTGGCACTGCCAGGAGAGCTCGGTGCTGAGGGGCAGGGCTGCAGTGCCAGGGCTGCTGTGCCAGGGCTGCTGTGCCAGGGCTGCCGTGCCAGGGCTGCTGTGCCAGGGCTGCTGTGCCAGGGCTGCTGTGCCAGGGCTGCTGTACCAGGGCTGCTGTGCCAGGGCTGCAGTGCCAGGGCTGCAGTGCCAGGGCTGCTGTGCCAGGGCTGCTGTACCAGGGCTGCTGTGCCAGGGCTGCTGTGCCAGGGCTGCCCCGCGCTCCTGGAGTGACCAAATCCCCGGGGCAGGGGCCGAGGCGGGCGGGGGGCAGCCCCATGGTGCCCATGCTGGCGCTGATGCCCGTGCTGCTCTGGGTTGGGGTGGTTTGTCTCTGTTTCAGGCAGCTGCACCAGACGGGCTCACTGGCTGTGGGGGTGATGGAGGAATCCTACCGGGAGAACCTGGAGTGCACGGACGAGGACATCACTGACAAGGTCAGGGGCTCCTTCCCTTCTCCTCTCTGCCTGGGCCGCTGGGATAGAGCTGACTTGTGCTGCTCCTGCTGGGGGTTTCTGGCATGCTGAGGGTAAAGGATTTCTAGGACACGGTGGGAGCAGTGCTGTCTGTGTTACCCTGGAGGATTCAGTGCCTTGCAGTGCTCCCACATTCCCAGCAGGAGCAGGCTGCAGCTCCTCTCTGTGGGTGGATGGGTGCAGGTGGGACATGGGAAGCTCTCCACACTGAGGGGATGGAGGAGGAGAGGGGATGGAGGAGGATGATGGAGGATGGAGGAGGAGAGCACTCCAGGTGCTGTGCCGGGTCAGGAGGTGACCGTGGATCCCTCTCTGGGGTCAGTGGCTTCCCCAGTTTGCTGGGGCTGTCCACAAGGCAGCATTTTCACTTCTCCTTCCCACCAGAAGACGTTTTCAGGTTCTGCTTTTCTGAGTCAATCCACCCAATGTGAAACAACAACTTCCTCTCCTTGGCACACTCTGCTCGTGCTGCCAGGATGGAGCTGACTTTGTGCTGGTGCTGCTGGGTTTTCCTGGGGTGTTACAAGGAAAGAGTTGTAGGATACAGTGAGAGCACAGGAAAGGTTTTGTTTGAGCAGCCCTAGTCAAAAACAGGGAAAAGAAGTTAGGGGAAAGAAGGAAAATTAAAGATTGGGGAGCTGGGGCTTGTATAAATGTCTGCTTYGTTCCTGAAACTCCTTGGAAGTGGCTTTTTAGCTCTGAAATGTGAATGTCCGCAGGAGCTGTGTGTCAAAGAGAAATATGTATGTGTGTGGCTGCACTTRGAAATAATTATAATGCAGAGAAGACCAGTAAAAAATAATCCAAAATCAACGTTTTTACAAGGCTGGAAGCTGAATAAAATAGTTGGGTTCCTTAAGGCATCTGACTTGGGAAACCTTTGATGGAAAAGGCAGTGCTGGGAAAGGCMTTTTTAATCCTCCCATATTTCTTGCCCTTCTCCCAGAGCCAGGATTTGGCTTTTCCAGACATGCTCCCCATTGCCTCTCCCCCAGGATGGTTTTACATGGGATTTGAATGCCTAAAATGAACATAGAGCTGGAATAAATGCTGTACAGGGTCAGGGGGAAATTCCTCATCTGTGGTGCTTCCCCACCAGCTGGCAGTGATGCCTCCAGCTGTAAATTCAGGGTTTCCATGCTGTTCCAGGGTGCTATCCAGCCTCAGGCTGCACACGGATGCAGCAGAGCTCTGGAGATSCACCAGGATCTAGGCTTCTTTTAGGATGTCATCAGGAAGGGGCTAAAGAAAGGAAAGAGTGATCTGTTTGACCCCAAACTGGTACATGGGGGTTCCCATCAAAGCCTGGGAAACCAGGCTGGAAAAGGATGTTCTAAAGGGATGCTTTAAATCAAGGCATGGCTGCCCCATTCCAGTGGAACTCTCCATGTTTAGGGTTGGTGGAGGCTGCTGTGGGTTTGGGGATGGCCAGAGGCTGATCCATGTCCCTGTCACAGGTGGTGTTCCTGGAGAAGCGGGTGACAGAGCTGGAGAAGGACACGGCTGCCAATGGGGAGCAGCACAGCCGCCTGCGGCAGGAGAACCTGCAGCTGGTGCACAGGTAGGAGCCTCTGCTGGGGAGCCTGTGCCCTCTGTGAGCTCCAGCAGCCTTCCCAAAGCCAGACCAGCTACCAGGAATACTGGCACTACCCCAGCTGAGAACAGGACACAGGGAYATTTTGAATTTATATATATTTTATRTGCTTCCCCAATCCACATGTCCGTCCTGAAAGTTTTCTGGAGCTCCATAACTTAGATTTTGGTGGTTTTTTATATATGGCCTTTAATGGCCTGGAACTGTGTCAGGGAACGGGGTGTCAGGTTGGATATCAGGGAAAGGTTCTTGTCCCAGAGGGTGCTGGCACTGCCCAGGCTCCCCAGGGAATGGTCCCGGCCCTGAGGCTGCCAGAGCTCCAGGAGAGTTTGGACAGCACTGCCAGGGATGGACAGGGTGGGATTGTTGAGGGGTCTGGGCAGGGCTGGGAGCTGGAATCAATAACCCTTGTGGCACCCTTTACCATTCAGGATGTTTTGTTGTTGCTGTTGTTTGGGGGGGGGGTTTGTTTTTTCTGTTGTTTTTTTTTTAAATGTGCCTCCCTGCTCCATGTGTCCCTCCCAGAAGGTCTCTGGAGCTTTGGGTTTTGGCTTTTTTAATAGATACATATTTGTGTTTATATTTACTGTGTTTTCCTGCCCCATATGCCCCTTCCAAACAGTCCCTGGAGCTCCAAGGCTGTATCGTGGCTGGGTGCAGCCCTTTGGATCCCACATTATGTAATCCCTGCCTGTGCTAATCTGCCAGGCTCCTCTCTCCCAACATATCTGTACCCTGGGCAGATAAACCCCGCAGAGTTTATCTATAGGGCTGTAATTCTGTTAAGTAACAGTCGTGTCAGGGAACKGAGCCACTCCAGCAAAGGTTTCCCTAAGCCCTGATAAACTTGGGAGCGAGGGAAGTGTTTTCACTTCAGCAGCTTGGCCCAGAAGTGTCAGCTGGCTCCGAGTGGGTAAAGCCCTGGATGAGCTCAGGGCTGGGAGGGGTGGGATCAGCTGGGAAAAGCCTTCACTTGGGAAAAGCTACTGCATGAATTCCAGCTCCCAGCCCCATCCCTGGCAGTGTCCAAGGCCAGGTTGGACGGGGATTGGAGCACTCTGGGACAGTGGGAGGTGTCCCTGCCCATGGGATGGGATGGGCTTTAGGGTACCTTCCCACCCAAACCATTCTGGGATTCTGTGATTAGCAGTTCTGCTGACACACAGAAGGGTGACCTGCATATCACATATTTTTTGTTGGGGTCACAAGAGAGTGAGAACAAGGAGGATTGGGGCTGTTGTTGTCTTTTCTCTGCACAATGAGACTGAGCTGGCAACAGCTGAAGGAGGATTCCTCTGCCATGGCCACTGGATTAGATGATCTTAAAGGTCCTTTCTAACCTCAGCCACTCTGAGATTCCCTCTAAGAAATGCATATGTGTGTGGTTGCACTTGGAAATAATTCTAATGCTAATAGGAGACCTTTAAAAATAATTGAAAATGAACATTTTTCCAAGGCCAGAAGTTGAATGAATTGCTTGGAATCCTTAAGGCAGCTGACTCAGGGAACCTTTAATGGAAAAGGTGCTGCTTGTACCTGCTGGGATGCAGTGAAGCTGTTGGAGATGGTGATCAGCGTGTTTTCCGTGGCAGATCGTTCTGTTTTACCATCTGCTTCTCCCAGCTCCCCTGTGGGGTGGGAGGAGGGTTGGGAAGGGAGTCTGGTCCTTGCCTTGGAATGGCAGCCTGCTGGGATGGGCCTAAGGAGAGCTTAACCCCCTCTCTCTGCTCTCGGCAGAGCCAATGCACTCGAGGAGCAGCTGAAGGAGCAGGAGCTGAGGGCTGACCAGACCCTGCTGGAGGAGATCAAGAAGCAGAGGGAGCTGCTCAGCAAAATGGAGAGGGAGAAGAGCATTGAGATCGAGAACCTGCAGGCCAGGTGGGGCTGGCTGGGGGCACCCTGCTGGAGCCACCCTGGAATCTGTGCCCAGGCAGCCTTGGGGGACACAGGGAGGCTCACAGGGGGTTTAACTGGTTCAAGGTGTGGCTAAAATCCTCACAAATCCTGAGTTTTGGCTGAGTTTTGTCTGAGTTTGGTCCATGGACCTCATCTTGGATTCTTTATTTGAATTTTAAGTTTTAAGTTTAGCGCCCATCCTCAATCCCTGTGTCAGCCCCACAGCATGGGGATGAAGAGGGGATTTATTAATAAATCCCATAAAYGACCTCTGGGAGTGCTTTTAATGCCCAGATGTTTTCCACTTGATGGAAACAGGCAAATGYCTGGGAAAGAAGAGTGCCCAAAAGGCAGAGTGTCCCAGCCAGGGTGCTTCATGCTGCCTGCTGGATTCCAAAGGAGGAAGTGGGGTGGGAGAGGTTTCAGTTGTTTGACAGGGTTTTTCCAGATTTTCCAGGATGTTTTGCTGTTGTTCAGCTTTGCAATGCATGAAAGACAAAGACAGTGGGGTTTTACCTGGGAATGCAAAGCCAGAGCCCTCTCTGCCCCCCTGCTCTGATGTCTCTGGTGCTGAGGCTTGTCCAGGGACTGATAAAACCCTTGGAACAGGGAATAGCCCTGCGTCTGATGGAGAAGGATGTGTCAGGATTGTGTGGGTGCCCSCCTCTCTCCCCTGGCAGCAGATTTAGTGGGAACCTCGGGGTTTACTGTGAACAGAGGAATCCCTGCTGGCTTCCCTTTGGTTCAGTATTCCTGGAGAGGTTTTCTCTCCCTCCTGGGATCCTGGGATGAAGCTCACAGCCGTTCCCTTTGCAGGCTGCAGCAGCTGGATGATGAGAACAGTGAGCTGAGATCCTGTGTCCCCTGTCTGAGAGCCAACATCGAGAGGCTTGAGGAGGTGAGGCCAGGGGTGCCTGGTTTGGGGATGGAATTGTGGTTTTGGGATGAGTTTCCAAGAACATGAGATCCATTTAATGTACCAAACCAGCTGCCTGCCCTTCCCAGTGCCTGCAGACCCCACACTGCACCAGCACCATCCCATCCACTGTCCATGCAGGTTCCCAGTGTTGGTGTGGAGCTGGGAATAAAACCCTGATAAATCTCAGTGACAGCAGCTGCTCAGGAGGGGACTCGTGCCCTCTTGTGGAAGCTTGTCCCCATCCYTGTCCCCATCYCTGTGGCTCCAGCCCTGTGCARGGGAGGAGGAGGAGCAGGGATGCTCCATCTCCATGTCCTGGGATTTGTGAGTTGAGTTTTCAAAGATCTGTGTCATCCCCAGACCCTCTTCACTCACCTGCTCAGGATCCAGGGCCATGCAGGGCTGGAGTTTGAGGCTTCCCCAGGCTCCCTGGGGTGGACCAGAGCCCCGTGTTTGGACACAGCGTGGGTTATGGATGGAACACCTAAAACAGGGGCTGCATTTGTCTCTGCCAAGCCTGGGGCACAATTAAGGTTTAAATTGAAGGGAAATCAAACCTCTTCACCCAGCTGAAGGGCCTGAGGCATTTTATCCATGTTTAATCCCATGGGAGAGTGCTGCAGCTCCATCCCTCCTGATGTGCTCTTCACCTGCCAGGACCTTGTGAGTCCAGCTGGGGCTGGGGCAGGAAAACCCCTGGGGCTCTGAGGATGAATTCCCTGCCTCGGGGGGTTTCAGCCATGGGAAKTTGGGTTTGATCCCTGCAGAGCTGTGCTCCTCCCCCTCCACAGTCCATGGGATGAAGGAGGAGCAAGAGGTGCAGTCACTGCCCCTCCTGCCCAGTCGATGAGCTCCTCTCTTGTCCAGTGCCCAACAATCAGGATTTTGTTGTCAGTGCTGCCTTTCCGGCTGCTGTGGTGCCTTTGGCTCTGCCCCATGGAGCAGGACCCCCCAGACCAGCAGCTGGAGCTCCCCATGGAGCTTCTGCTCAGCCCTGCGTGCCATGGGCCACGCATCCCCAGCCCTGAGGGGTCTTGTAGCTTTTGGGGAGCTCTGGAAGCCAAAACCTTTCCCTTGGACTGGCAGCTGTGAGCCTGGGGAGGGGCTGAGCTGCTCACAAGTAGATGCTCAGGGCTCTTGGCATCTTCACCTGCATCCCAAACATTCAGCCAAGGCTTTGGGAACAAGAAGGGAGCAGAGCTGGGCTGTGTGCTTCACATCCTGCTTGAGCTGCTCGATTCCTTCTTGGATCARTTCAAACCTTTCATATCTTTCATATCTGAAACCAAGAGGGAGGTAAAGATTTTCGATTCAGAGCTTTGCTGAAGTCCAGGCATCAGGAGATTTATGATTTCATGATTTAATGTCTCCTCCTGGCCTGGARACCCCGTGCTGGCCCCAGTCCCCTGCAGCCCATCCCACGCCATCCTCATACTTCCCAGAAAACAGCACAAGTGGGGATGTTCACAYGGATGTATCCTGGAGCCATCCCTTGCTGCCTCTCAGTGCAGCTCTGCTGTGTGGCTGCCAAAGCCCTGGGGAGCCCTGAGCAGATGAAATCCCAGCAGGCTGAGCATCCTCGTTCCTCAGGAGAGGAGCATTCCCTGCGGGGCCTTCTCACCAGGGCTCCTCATGTCCTTGCAGGAGAAGCAGAAGCTGCTGGATGAGATCGAGGACCTCACTGTGCAGCTCACAGAGGAGCAGGAGAAAAAGAGGAAGATGGGGGACAAGCTGAGTCAGGAGAGGCACCAGTTCCAGAAGGAGAAGGAGTCAACGCAGGAGGTGAGTGGAACCTGGGCCTGCCCAAAATGGGGGTACCTAGCCTTGGCAGCCTCCCCAAAACCAGGTGTGAAGGGAGCTATTGGTGCTGCCTGGGCAGAGGAAGGGGGTTCAGCAGCCAAGCTGCAGCATCTCAGTCTGCTCTGCTGCACTGAAATCCATCCAGCCTGTCTGGGCCTGCCAGGGGGGCTGTGCCACCCCAGCTCCTTCCCTTCCCTTCCCTTCCCTTCCCTTCCCTTCCCTTCCCTTCCCTTCCCTTCCCTTCCCTTCCGAGTTTAGCAGGCAGGAGGAAAGGGGCTGAAGCTGCTCAGGGAGGGCTCAGTGCTCAGGGAGAGTCACTGCCCTCCTGCTCCTCCTGTGCCTGGTAATTCCAGCTGGAGGCTCTGGCTGTGGTGCAGGAAAGGAACTTTGGGTCCAAAGTAGAATTGTCACTGGGGTGTTGTTGTGTGAGGTGGGGACCCAGCAGTGCAGCAGGAGGGGCTGCCCAAGGAGGGCCGGCAGTGCTGGGGGGTCTGTGGGGTTTGCAGACCCAAACCCAGCATCCCTGGGGCTCCAGCAAGCCCTTCCCAGGGCTCTTCCTCTGTGTTTTTGTAGCTCCCCCATTCCTGCTTGCTGGATGTGTGAGGGAGGGAGGGAGGGGAATCCGAGTGCCCCCAGAAAGGGATTTAATCCTGGGACAGTTTGGGTCGGGAGAGACCTCAAAGCCCATCCAGTGCCACCCCAGCCATAGGCAGGGACACCTTCCACTGTCCCAGGCTGCTCCAAGCCCCATCCAACCTGGCCTTGGGCACTGCCAGGGATCCAGGGGCAGCCACAGCTCTGGGCAGCAATGCTGCTGCAGCAATCTGTGGAGCTGCTCCCACATCCAGAGRGTGCTGCCACATCTCGGGGCCCGTGACACTCACTCATCCCCTTGGCCTTGCCTGCAGCTGATCGAGGACCTGAGGAAGCAGCTGGAGCACCTGCAGCTCTTCAAGCTGGAGGCGGAGCAGCGGCGGGGCCGGAGCAGCAGCATGGGGCTGCAGGAGTACAACAGCAGGACACGGGAGACAGAGCTAGAGCAGGAGATCAAGCAGCTCAAGCAGGTAGGAAGGGCTGGGCTGGGAGGGAAGCAATTCTCTGGCCACAGGGAGGGGCCAGCAGGGTGCAGGGACTCTCCCCAAGGGATGGAGGGGATCCAGGAGCTCAGGGCTTGCTCTCCTGCCCTGGAACAGGGATGCTGTTCTTGGGGGCAACAGRAGCCCTTTTCCTTGCTGTGCTCCCTGGATATTCCCAGTGTTTCTGATGCTTCCAGAGGCTGTCCGGGCTCTGCTGGGAYGGGGCCAGGAGCCCATGTGCTGTTCCCTGTGAGCTGTGTTGGGGTGCAAGCCCCTGCCTCTCCCAGGCTGGATCAGCAGGGGCTGCAGCAGGGTGTGCTTTGTGTGTGTCAACAGGACAACAGGAACCTGAAGGAGCAGAACGATGAGCTGAATGGGCAGATCATCAACCTGAGCATCCAGGGAGCCAAGAACCTCTTCTCAGCCTCCTTCTCCGAGTCCCTGGCAGCGGAGATCAGCTCTGTCTCCAGAGACGAGGTACGGGCCGTGAGGAGTTCCTGGCTCAGGCTGCCCCTTCCTGGCTGCCTGCCCCTGGGATGGCCAGGGAGGAACTGATGGACCCTGCACATGATCCAGCCCATTCCCAAAATTCCCCTGAGAGCAAAGAAATCCCCACACTACTCCTTGTAGAGCTCACAGGATTTCCCTGCCTCCCCCAGCCCTCCTTCCTGGGACAGAGAAGCTGCTCCCTGCCCATCTGCTGATTCTGGGACAGCCTTCCCCTTCCCAGGGCAGAGTGGCCACCACAGGCTGTGTCCAYCTGTTTGGAGCTGCCTTAAACCCCTGGGAGCCAGGACATTCTCCCTGGAGATCTCAGCTTGTTCTGCCTAAACACCACCCGGGTTGGAATTTAATCTTTGGGGAAACACACCGGGATATTTTGGGGATCCAATGGGAATGTGATGCTCCCTGCTCTCTCCAGGGTCCCAGCAGGCTGAGAGCTTGAGCAAGGACAGGAACAAGCATATCCAGTTTTGCCTGGGTATTGAAACAGGGTCAGGAATATCCCAGGCCGGAGGAGAGAACGGGGGAGACACCCAGGGATGCTCAGAGCCACAGGAACCCCTCAGCAGTGACCTCTCCCTCCCTCTCCCCTTTTTTTGCAGCTCATGGAAGCGATCCAGAAGCAAGAGGAGATCAACTTTCGCCTGCAGGATTACATCGACAGGATCATCGTGGCCATCATGGAGACCAACCCCTCCATCCTGGAGGTCAAGTAAGGGCAGCCGGGAGCCCTGTCGGGTGCATTCGGTGCTCTGAGAGGATGAAGAGGGACTCCAATCATCTTTGCTCTTGATGAAGGCACAGGGAAGCCTCAGGTCGGGGGTGACTGAGCCCYGGAGCAGGGAAGAGGAAGGCCGGCAGCCAGGCTTTGCTGTGTGACTCGGTCACTTTGAGCCCTCCTGGCTGCGGAGGGGTGAAAGGGAACCCGGAGAAGGAGCACAGGACACTGTGGGAAGTGCCCGGGACSCTGGGGACTGTCCCGAGAGGCACCRGGCCCGTCCCTGGGACGCTCCGAACCGCGGGATAACGGGATGGAAGAGGCAGCGCTGACTCTGCCCCGCTGCCCTGCCCAGCCCGAGCCTCTGCTGTGCCAAAGTGTCCCTGACACACTCACCGAGGCAGAGCAGGGCATGAGAGAAGCGCATCCTGGACTCACACACGCCTGGGGTTTGGTTTGGTTTTGGGAATTTTGTTTTTGTTTTTTTTTTTAATTAACTTAATGCAAATGTCCTGATCCAGTTGGCTCAGCCCTTGGTTGCCCCGTGCCGAGCCCTCGGTGGCTGCAGGGGCAGCCCGGGTTCGCTGGGGACAGGGTGTGAGYGCCCTTGCTCACCGGCCTCCTTATTTATTTTTGCTGTCCGTGGCTCGGTACTGTCGGCGCGTCTCGGCATYCCGGCTCCGCTCCCTGCTCCTCCCTCCTCCTCTGGACCCGCCGGGCTCTGCCGGTGGGTGGCTCCGGTGAGAGCTGTCCCTCTGTCCCTCGTCCCCAGCTGGGGACAGACACACGGGCTGTGTCCGGCCGGCCCCGGGGCGAGGCTGCAKCTCCTCACCCCGCCCCGGAGGCTGCTCCTGCCCGCTTCTCCTGGTCCCGGCGTGGGACACGCAGCACTTTGGGAGCTGCAGCGGAGAGGCCCGAGCTCCCCGAAGTCCCTGGCCTGTGCCAGTGGGGCAGTGGCCTGTGCCATTCCCAGCCGGAGCAGGGCTCTGCCGGTGATAGCTGCAGTCCTGGAGGGAGAGCCCGCTCCGGCTCCTTTCCCTGCTGCTCCCGGGCTGGGCCGGCGGAGCCGCGCCCGTTCCTCATGCCTGGCATCGGCCGGGCTGGACTCTCCGTGCCGATGGGGACAGGAGCCGGAGAGCAGCTCCCTGGGAAACAAAGCCATGTTTACAGCGGGCAGCTCGGGGCTCGCTGGCGGCCGTGGCACGGCGTGACCCCCGAGCGGCTCCCGGCAGGACACAGCCAGGGAATCCCAGCGATCCGCCTTCCCTTCGGCCAGCCCTTCCTTTTCCTGCTTGTCAGGTTTTAGGAATGCCAGAGCAGCCTGCAAGCAGAAGCCACCGCGATCGCGGGGGTTCCTGTTCCTCCCCGAGCCCTTCCAGCTCTCGGGTGACCCTGCCCGGGGGACGTGGCCGCTGTCACCGCCTTATCCCGGGGGACCCGGCCGAGCCACGGCCGCGCCACCTCCGGGTGCTCATCCCCAGAGCCCCGCGAGGGGCAGCGGGGTCGGGGCGAGCCCCAAACGCTGGAGCAGCTCCTGCATCCCTCCCTGCCGGCACCCATCCTTCCCCACCTCCCTCCCTGCCCGAGCCCGCGGGAAGAAGCCACGTAATGTACATTTCCAGAGAAGCTTTGGGTGTAAATCAGTGTATACTTGGAGAGGGAAAATTTTTCTATCTTGTAGAGTAGGTATTTTTATAGGATGAAGGTTGATCCATTTTTTTAATACTTTAAAAGAAGAGAGAAATGTATCTGTGTATACACAAAAGCATATATATATATATATGTATAAATATATAAATATTGGAGATCTGCCTTTCTCGACTTGGGATCCCCAGGTCTCAAACAATCGTTTGTTTTTTCCTGTCGCTCTCACAGAGGTACTGTAACTGTAAATAAGCACCGGGAAAAAAAAAAGTTTTAAGCAAACAAAAAAAAAAGCACTGACTTGCACATTCACCATGCTTTAAAGTCCCTATGGAGAGAGAAAAACAAAAACAAAACAAAAACTGTACATCCCGAAAATGTTCCTCTTTCCYGACCAGTATGTGAAGGAAGTCCCCCAAAAAAGAGGCAAAAACAGTATTGTCTTAACTGATGTATCAATTCTTGTCGGATTAAAAGCTGTTACTATTCCTGCCTGGAGGCTGCTTTTATTGGAGCATCCCGARGATCCCAGTGCTGGATCTGCAGTGGGGCTGGATGGAGTGGGAATGCTCCTGCACCAAGGAATGCCCTGGTTTGGGAGGATGAGGGAGGCTGGACCTGGCTGGAATGTCCTGATTTTGGGAAGATGAGGATTGGGGAGGCTGGATCCCGCTGACTCCACATGGATCAAGGTCAGAYGGAGCCCAAATCTCCCCCGCCAGCCGGGCTGTGTGGGCGGGAATGGGGAAATTCCCCCTTCGCCTTCCTGGAGGGTCTGGGTGGGGTGAGGGACCCTGGGAGCCGATCCCAGGCTGGGACAGGGATTTGGGATCACAGAGCTTCCCCTTCCCTCTTCGCCRGGAGAACGCCCTCGGAGCACGGGGCCGTTCTGAACGGCTCCAAAAATCCCTTAAACGCCCTCACCTCCCTGCTAAGCTGCTCCCCACCCCTCTAAGCCTCCTCCACCCCTCCCCACCCCTTTAAGCCGCCCCAAAGGGCCTGAACGTGCAAAATCCCCTCCCAGCTCCTGCCTTGCCTCCGGCTTGCTCCAGACTGTTCCTCTGAACCGCTCCGAGCGGCCCCGGAGCTCCTGGGGRGAGGCTCTGTCACACCCCGAGCCCTCTGAAACCCCCCAGATCGTTTGAAACTGCTCAGAGCAGAGCCGAGGCTCCCAAACATCCCCTGAGCTGCCCCAAAACATCCCA